CCATGAAGGCGCCAATATTTCTCCCATGCACACCAACGACCACGACGACGACTGGCCCCACCGCCGTTCTCCTCGGCCTGCCGAAAGGAGGAAAGCAGCTGCTCATGGAGATGGGGCTGTGGGAAGGCGAGCCAACCCTACGCGTTCACGAGTGCAGCGCGTGCAGGGCGGAAAAGGCGGCAACAAGGCAAGCCATTACCGCCTTCAACCGCGGTGGAGAGGGGCGGCAGCAGGTGGTGGACAACACGGGGCAGGGAGAGGAGGACGGCGGAGAGGACGGGGACTCGGGTGGGAGCGGGGCAGCTGGTGAAGCAGGCAAGAGGCGTCGCTGCTGCGTCGTGCGCGTTCTGTCTGAGCTCAAGGCGTTCAGGGAGGAGCTCAACATGGTTGAGAAGCTCTTCAAGGCACACGGGCACCTGTGCATCTTCTTGCCGAAGTACCACCCAGAGCTCAACGCAATCGAGCGATACTGGGGGTACATCAAGCACCTCCTCCGCCTCCACTGCGAGTATTCCCTTCGCCACATGTTCCAGGTCTTGCCCGGCGCGTTGAGCAGCGTACCCGCACGGTTTATCCGCGCATGGCATGGAGCAGGGTGACGTGGCTGTACATCGAAGCCTACGACAAGGGCCTGGAGGACTACCTCGAGTACCGCGATCTCAAGGAGTGGGGGAAGCACCGAGAAGCCACCGCCAGGGGAGATGCCGTGATTCAGGCGAGGGGGGCGGGGAAGACGCCGGAGCAGAAGAAGGCAGCCGAGGCGAAGGCGCTTGCGGCTGCGCAGGAAGTGCGCAAGAAGTCGATGGCAGCGACCAGGGAAGCCTTCAACACGTGGACGAGCAAGAGAGCCTCCCGGAAGGAGCAGCTACGGCTGTGGATTTTGCGCAACACGATGAATTTTTTGAGGAAATGGTTGGGCGGGCACGCTCAGGCGTGAGTGGGTAGGGTACGTATCTATATGTCGCGGTGTGTTGTAGTGTTGGTTTCTCGCGTTTAGGCGCGGTAGAGGCGTTCGTCGTGGTCACCAACTCAATCAACGCTATAGCTGTCGCTCTTGGTATCGGACTTGCTTAGAGAGAACGGATGTGATTGCTGCATGCTTTGTTTGCAGCACCTTCACCAGCCAGAGGTTGAGTAGAAAGTAAACGGCGGTATTGTATGTATGTATGTACATATGTAACGTGTAAATAATGTAAATATGGATTGACAACGGTTTAACTGATGTTCTGAAGGCATATACGTGTAGAAGGGAGGGGTTGAGGGGGGGTCGTGGTGTACTTTGGGGGCTCCGTGGGGTCATGAGGGGGTGGGGGGGTGGGGGCTCCGTGGGTCATTTTGGTCAAAAATGTCGCATTTCACCCAATCACCAAAAACTCATCGGATATCGACGAAGCTCGACGCCGCGGTCACGCCCAAAGTTGTTTCACTTTCCAAATCGCTTTTTTTCGAAAGATATCGCGAAAAACAAGATTGTGAATATTTGCCCGAACGGACCATACGACCAGACAACACTACCAAGGACGAACTACTGCTGTTGGTGTTAATGTTGTTTTCGCACTAAAAACCGTTCCGGTCTCCTGTGCCTCAATAACCCTGCCGTCTGTGTTAGATGCGCACCTCTGCACGAACGATGGGCGGGCGGGGGACCCCAAAACCGAAGTATGAACAAACATATGGAAAATCAAACATTAAAGTACGAAAAAAGAGCGAGGCCAAGAGAGTCGACAGGCTTCAGCAAGGAGGCGGAAGAGAGCATAGAAAAAAACCACACTCCTCGCCGCTCTGAATCCCCAGAAGCTGTCACATATGCACTGCAGCAAGCATCATGGTCATGCCCTCATTCTCTGGCAGCACCCATCGTCTCCCATACAGCAGCCGGATGCACGGGTAGCTTCTTTACTCAGCAACAAAAACGACGATCAATCGCGGTTGTTGGCGTTGTCGTGGGGACCCCACCGGCGAAAGGCGACAAGAGAGAGGAGAGAAGACAAGGAATTCACTGTCGAGAATACATCCACTACAAGGCATACATCCTCGAGAAGACACCTGCTCTCGTCCTTATATTGTACAAGCTGGGCCAGCCAAGAAACGTACAAAATGGTTGAAAGCGATGTACACCACGGTTTTCACGAATTCGAACCTGAAATTTTGGCATGTGGTCGGCACTAGTATGGCGAAGACCTTGATTGACTAGCCGCACCTTTTGTCTAAAAAAAAATATGTTTTCACGAGGTAGCCCGATTTAAGAACAAATGGAAATCCTATTGTTGTGCGTAGGGGGACTAAAAATATATATAAGTAAAAGGTGCGTCTGGCCAAGGCCTTCGTGATACAACAGCCGACCACACCTCAAAATTTCAGATTCCAACTCGTTAAAACCGTGATGTAATTGCGATAACCTCACATTTCCTTGGCTATCGGATTCTGTACGAGGCCATATCTCTTGGTTGAAGATGATTTGAGCCTTGTAACAATCATCATTTTTCTCGACTGCTCCCAGGTAAGTGCACACCAACTTTCAGCTTATTCGGTGTAACTTTTTTTATGCTGGTTTCAGTACCGGAAGTATCCCCCCCTGCGCCGCCAACTGATAGTTTAGTACCTTCCTTAATCAGATTCGAAAAATTCTGGCACCTGCGCTTTCCAAACTGTCTCATGAGAGCAACCAAAAAATTTCAAGCCCAAATTCGTGGAAACGGCAGAATGAGACTCGAACGAACGAAAGTGAGCTTTTCGCCTGGCCCAGCTTGTAACCACCGCGGCTCGAGATCAGCATTTGAGATTCTGTCGGGCAAGGGGTGGGCTATGTGAATGAAAATGACAGGGACAGAAAAAGTGAACGAAGGTCCATACACCCAAGCTCTACCGAGCTTAGGAATTCAGTCGAGATTCCGCAACGTCCCAACATGCCAATTCTCCGTTCCAAATCCATCAGATAAAACGACAACATTTCTATACTAGTACATCACAAACAAAACATCACACGTCCATACCAGTCTGCAGCGCAAATAAATCCGTGTGATCGCGCAGTTTCGTCTACTTTCGGAAAAGGAAACTTGGTACCACGGCAAGGTGACTCATCGGGTATTGGTACATCGGAGGGACGGAGAAACGGTGCCCCCCCCCTCCTCTTTACCCAGCGCGTCGCACGCCAAATCAACGCCTATGCATACGTATATCCAGTACCACCAGAAAAACATAGCGATAACTACCATAGTCAATTATCCCGAGAGAGGTAAGACAAATAACTGTACTACCACCGCTATTTGAGATGTGTTCCCCGGCAACAGCCCCCCTGTCACAACATTCCACCTGTCTCTCAGAAAAACAACAAAAAACCTACCATGGTAATTTCGAAATTTCCCGCCATTTGCCCGTGGAAATCAGTGTCGTCACTGCGCGTAAAATTCGAGGGGACACTTCTACAGAACTAAACCAAAACGCCCCAAGTCGTCGTTCGGTCACGTGGCCAACAACCTAATTACGCCACCGACCGGTGTCTGTCGTAGACAAAGCATGGACACCGTTTCCGCAGATCACGCAGCGCAGAAACATATACCTCTTGAAAGTGCGACCGTTTCGAAAACGCTCCATGCCTGACTTTTTTCCACACCATTGTGGCAGGACTTTGATCTCGCGTCGAAATCCAGAACCACACATACGTGCCGATACTTTTTCTTTACCTGGCCACTGCTCTCTTCAACGTACACCCTACCTACTGCTTTCAGCACTCCATACGACTATCCACACACACAGCCGCAGCATCTATTGCGCCGCCAACAAACACCTATGCTCACGAAGACGAGAACTGTGTGCTCCCGCCACAGTAGTCCGCTCAGTTTCACAGTGTTACCCGGGAACACGTTAGAATAGCACCCGAGCCTCCCACGCCCACACCTCGCAAGTGCGTTGTGAGGTACCTCCACCAACAAAGCCAAAGCGGAACGCCATCGAGGGAAAAGGGAAATGCCGGCGGCGATGTGTTCTTCTGCGCATGCTACTCCGCAGCTCGAAATTGGCCCTGCGTCCTTGTCGAGACCAGGCTGCCTCAAATATGTTGTACTTCAGGGTATCTTGTAGACGCTGCTCACTTGTTGGCTATCCGCTGTTCCGCTGGGAAAGGACAGCCGGTGCTCCACCTGTATCCATGCGCGAATATTGAGACAAGAGGTTGGGCGTAGCGCACTCTTGAGAAGGGGGTGAGCGGAATACATCCATAGACCATTACGGACCCACGAACTACAACACCTGGGTTTGAGACGGATGCTGAATACAGCAGCAGCACACCACAAGACGCATGACCCTAAAAATAGTACGTTTTCTGGTTGGTAATTCCAGCCCGAACACGTGCGGTGCTGCTTACAAAACCTGCTGAAAGAGCATACTCTGTAATTTCCCGCCTTCCCTTCAGTGTGGGGCCTACAGATGCCCCAGATTCCCTCGTGCGACTCGCCTTGACGTTGTAGAGGCGGGGATTGTTCGCCTGTCGCACCATAGACACGGTGCCTTCAATGGTCGCATCCTCAGCAGCGACAACAGGCTCCTGCAGGTAGAACACCTGCTCGTTTTCAAGATGTTGTTGCAACATATCGCTCAGTACTTTTGTGCACGCGGGGTGGTTTGCTTTACGGTACCAATCACCCAGGAAGAAGCTTTCTTCCCACCTGCTATTCTGGCACCATTGATGACAGTCACAACACATGGGAACGAACGCGCTTGTGCCAAAAACCAGCACCTGCTGTCCCCAGTGAGTGTAGCCCGCGGCAGGCGCAGTCGAAAATTCTACAGGCCTCTGTAGGGGGGCGACTTCATCCCGTCCCCGGAATGAAACGTCGAACCAACCAGCAAAACCCGTCACTGGAGGGGCTCCGTTCCTCAGCGGGAAAGAGAACAAGGTATTTTCCAGGCCTCTGGTGTCTTCCAAGCTGCAAGTGTGCAAGTCTAGCGCTGAGAGTCGGGATGAAGCAAGTACCGCAAGGACAGGCGTGAGAGGGAGGGGGTCAGGATAGCGATGAAAACGGGGGACTAGCACACATGGGGCAAGGGCTGATCGCCGACGACAATGAGGTACCGCAGGAAAGATCTGCGAGGCGGAGAGAAAATATGCTCTGGCTTCATATTCAAGATATTCAGCAGGTCGCTCATAGCCAATACCATTACATGCAGTTGGATGACCCCCTAAACCACAAAAAGGTGCCGTTCAATCAGCCCGACCTGAACGATGAGTTCTACTAATGTCTGAACGTGTCGTTCTACCTCCCACACGTCTCTTGCTGCATGACGCCAAGGGCAAAGCGGTGAACTTCTCCAGTAGTGTGCCCGTCTAGCCCATACCATACCACGCCACCGCCGTCAAGCACCCACCAGCCATCAAAATGTACTTATCGTGATAAATTGTAGTCAATATGCAGCACAGACGCAGCAGCAGTAGCACCTTCAACCTTTGCCCCCCCAAAAAAACATGTTCCGCGTGCACCTGGCTATTTTCAAAATGCGATCAAACCGTTCGGGAAAATCACTTCACAAAATTCATGTACTCGGCGGTGCCTACTTACCCTTCACCGTGACGGGGTCGGATACTACTTGGTGGCCAGCGAGCTCGCGCCATAAGCTGCTCAGAGAGAACACGCCCGCACATTCTTCCTCGTAGGCCTTGTCCAAGCCAGACATGTCCACACCATACCTCTGCATCGCGTGTTCAGAGAATGTAGACCAGCCTGAAAGGGAACTGAAGTTCAACAGAGGACCAAGAACAGGGCCGTGTTGTCACGTTCACGCCATTTCCAACTGGAGTGTGTGTGTTCGCCCCATTGTTTCTAGCGCCAGTCTTCAATCCTCCCGTTGAATGTATCAGCCGGGGTCACACAGGAGGAAGGTCACAAAGGATTGTCAAGTGGCACTGCTCCACCTCCTCTCCTGGGGTACTTGCCGCAGTTTGTATGGCGATAAGGGCTCAGCCGTCCCTCTCCCACGTCGACTGTAGCCAAAGTGTAAATACTCACGAAATAAATGTTTTCCAGAGCAAATTTCAGTTCTTGTCGAAAACACTGAGAAGCGGTAGGGAGAGACGGGGATAAACCGCGGAGGGATCTATCTGCGTTGGTTAACAGTGTTTGCCGCCTTCTCCGACCGGCCGCGAAAGAGACAGCAACAAGATAACAGGAGAATAGGCACCAAGAGGAGAGACGAGGGTGGGGTAGGGGCAGACTGCTGGGTCGACATTCCTATCCGCATGATCACGACACACGCACACACGCCGCCAAACTAAATACTCGGTATGCCCGGATTCCAACTGTTTCTTGATCCGACTCCATCCACTACTGCACCGCTCGCGCGAGCACATGCAATGTTGCCGTGAACTGGTCATTTCAAAAGTGCTTCAGGGCCCACCTCATGCCATCTTTGCCGCATCCGTCTACCTACCGGTAAAGTTGTTGTGGGGTTTCATCCGTGAGCTACAACCTACAGCAGCATACCGCTTACAATGACCGGCAAAGAATTGATTTTCAACTCACTTCTGGTAGTCTGTATCCCGCCGATATTTCTGGTCCGCGTCATCCACGGGAGCCCAGACCATAGTTGCGTGAGAAGGGAACATGACGCCTGTGTCCTTGAGCCACTTATCCCTGGAAACACACAGCCAGCACCCAATCCACTTTAGTGCAGCACAAGGCGCAGGGAATGCTTGGCCAAAAACGTATATTTTCAAATCAAATCGTTTGGCGTTGGGTGCAATTGACAAGCAACTTGAAAACACAGTGAACAACTCACCAGACCAAGATCAACACGCTTGAGACTTACCATGTTCAAGATGCAGAGCTCGGGCTAACAAAACGTGAAGTTGCTGCACATACTTCAAGGCGTCCCCATGGTATCCGGTAAACCCGCTATTCGTATACAAAAAAGAGTAGACTTATGTTACCACAAAAAAAAAAAAACGGGATCAGGACAAAGACGTTTTCCGATGCAATATCCACTTTGCATTGCTCGAATGAAGTGTTGGACGTTCTCCTCAGGATGGAGGAACGTAACATGAAGACGTTTGGAACGTGTAGGTAGTAGTATCATTGGCCCACCTGGCGACAACAACGCTGTCAAGCATGCTCTCTCGGAGCAAGAAGTAGCCCATCCACTCCGACACGATCACGTCCACCTTAGATACAAACGTCCAAAAAAATGAAGAACGACTATGAACGAACTTGTACAATTAACATATATTCCAAACCCTCACGATGGTAACAAAGTGAAGGGCGAATGAAACCAACACGTAACATGCACAACCACGGCACAGGATACTACATTGACAGAATTGTTGTAGAACCAGCTTGACCATATGAAAACACAACTAGCACATCGAGACGCTGCAAGGCAGAGGGTGTGGTAGCAATAGAATCAAAAATAGGCCAAGACACTGACTGAAACTGGCGTTCGTGTGCAAGGTGCGTGTGCTATCCGCGTATCGCGTTGTCCATTTTCTGCAGGTGTTGGACCCTCAAGAGGACACCAATTCTGGTCCTCGTATCCGTCGGTGGGCTTGATGGATTTCTCGAACATCACGAACCACGATAAGGAGAACAGGTATCAAGAACATCGTTCGGCTTGTTACATATTCATGGGGGAGATACTGCTGTGCTTCTGACAGCCCAGCAATTTGTGGTACATAGATAAACTTTTCAAAATTCCTCCCTCCCGAGGGAGGGGGCGGGATGGACCTATGTGTCCGAATTTATTTTTCGCGCATATCTTTCTCCGTGCGATGCACTCCGCCGAGATCAGAACTCTCATAAGTCGGGTATACCTTTTCAGGGAGCTGTATGGATTCCGCGCTGCCTTGGATGACCTGGATGACATCGCCGAAGCCATTTTTCTCCACCATAGTCCGGGCATGCTTGGCCATGTCCGTGTACTCAACCGCGTACACCTCGAGAGTCGAACGCAGAAAAAGAGCGAGAAAAGAGGGAGGGGTCGATTCAGACTCCGCAGCAGCATACAGTACTGTAAACAAGGCACAGGTGTGCGTCAAGCAGATTGCCAATAAGAATAGGGCAAAAGAACAACAAGAATACTGATCTTCGTCGAGCCTCATCTACGCTGTTGGGCCTGTGGACGCAAGCTGCACGGCATCACCGACTTAGTGATAGAGATCTCAGCATCGGCGGACCCCGATACGACATGATACGATATGATACGTCATGCCACGATACAAAGAAACGGACTTTACTTTCCTCACCTTCTTGGCGCCTGCTTGCGCGGCGAATATCGCGAGTACCCCCGACCCCGAACCAACGTCCAACACCTGTGCGAGCAAAACACAGCCAGACAAAAACAAACAGAAAACGCAAGGCAACAGGAACGACGGGGGTCATCAGGCAACACATCATTTTGAGCGCGAAACGCACATGCAAAGCCGTGAGCCAGCTCATGATATAAGTACTGAGAACAGAGGGGAGAGTTGGGGTTGACTGGGAAGCAAGTGCTGACACACGCTCGGATCTCGAAGTACGGGGAAGCTGGCATCAATACTAGGACAGTGCGGGTGGTGTGAAGAAATAGAGTTCAACCTCCGCCAAGAGCTCACCGTTTTCCCTTCAAACGCATCCCTATTCAGCAGCATGGAGTTGCGATATGCTTCCATTCTCCTGGAAGCAGGGGGACAAGAGGACACGAAGGACAGGCGTGCAGAAGTCCACGTGCATACCAGTGAGAAACAGCGTTATACAAAAGGAAGCACTAGACGAGATTTAAGGGACCCATCACGACTCCATTGCTCCAATACAAAACATGCTCGCACGCAACCGTTTGTAGCGAAGCTAAACAAGTCAGAAGCACAATAGTCGGAGTGTAGGCATCACGCGAGAACAATCTTCCTGCACAAATGCATCCTGGCCCCCGTACACGACAAAAAATGGCTCGGTTTCAAGGCCGGTCGGGCAGAACAGGACTGTGACATGGTGCACGACCGCCCACAGGTCGCTCACACGAAGCCAACCAAAAACTTGGCTAAAACGAACCCTAGTTGCTGATTCATTGGTACCGAAAATGCACCAATGTCACGACCACCGACATGGAGCTCGAAAATTGAGCGAGGCTCATCGGTTCACCTGTCATCTTCCAGCATCTGCTTCTGGTGCTCCAGCTCGGCGTAAGAGTAGAAGTAGTTGGCGAAATCCGCTGACTCTATGTCCTCCATAGGGAGCGAATCCTCTCCTTCCGCCCCGCCCTCCGCCGTGCCGTCTACGGCTCGCCCGGCAGCACGGTCTGCTCCCGCAATAGTGGCAATTGTATCCCGCCATTGTGATGCCGCGGGTGCAGGTGCTTGCGCCGATGCTGATAGTGGTGGGGCTGCGCATGCTGTTGCGTTCACAGCGCCAGGTAGGGATAGGCTATGTGCTCAGAAAACACGTCGGAGAAAAAAAACGTGTTGTACATGGCTGCGCATGCCGTCTTATCACGACCAACGTTGAGGAGCTGGTAATGTATTGTAGTTCACTGTAATGTTCTGCTGTACTGCTGTACGGTACTGTACTTGCCAGAAAACTCACAACGGCTGGGATCGAAAAACCACAGGGTACCCTGTTCGATGCGAGGTTTCGTGTTGCTATTGACCCGAGGGCGAACACACACACTGCTCTAGCAAAAAGTCCCCCTTACGACGAGAGCGGTGCCAAAAATAGGAGCGCCCGTCTTAACGAACATCAGACAGAAACGCCCTCATCTTCATCCTCCTGTAGTCGCCTTTATCTGCTTCACTGCACTGCTCTTCTCCTACCCCGAAACGAGGCCGCGTCACAACATGCAGTCCTTTCAGGTATTCCGTCAAGCTATCCCATCGGGGTTGGTCAATCTGGTGGATATTGAGCCAACCTGTGTTCACGCCTCCAGCAGTAACGGCGTTGCTCGAGAGGGTGTTTGTCGAGAGTGGTTTCGTTGTGGAAGGGCGGTGGCACCTTCTCAACTATTGCCAACCAACGTTCCAACGTCATGGGTGCCATACAGTACTCGTCATGTACCTTGAGAGGCTGTGTCTGAGTCTCCTTCTCCTCCGCCAATTTGAGGCGCACCGGACTGACTTCGGGCAAGAGCCGCCCGACATTCTGCTACTTCGTCCTGCTGCTGCTTGAGTAGCTCCTGCATCTCGCGGAAGAGGTCATTGCGCTGGGCCCCGAGCTGAGTGCAAAACAACAAAGGAGCAAAACAACAGAGACACCGCGAGGGGATAAAAGCAAGCGAAGCGAGTCAAGGCAGATCTAGACAATGCAGCTACATACTAAAACAAGAGCAACATTGGAAACGCCGAACAGGCACAAAGACCTAAATCTAGACACTTGAGTTTTCCAGTATCTGTCGTCATCGCCAAGTCCAAACGGGCTAGACAAGTATGGAGTGAAAGGGGACGAAGTAACCGATGTCGGCAAGGCAAGGCGCTCCCTGCCTAGGTTTTAAGCTTCGAGAGTGTCGGCTTGTCTGACGCTGTCTGTGTTGGCGTATTTCAGCCATGACTCCCACGGAAGCCAGTGGTTTCCTTGCTCATGTACATACGCGTCGTCTCATCGAAACACCCCGAGGGGAAGGGGTAACGACACTCAATTGATCGGACCGCCTTTCCGCGTGCGCTGACGGGGTTGTGACAGAGGAGGGGAATGGTTGCTGGGCACCCTTCTCGCCGCCAAGCAACGAATGAATCGCTACAACCTCGCATTTGCATACCCAAAGTAACCTACGCAAAAGGTAGGTTTTGGAAAAATCATGTGACTGACATGCACTTTATCCCTTCCTAACCGTCCGCAGTCTTCGAGAAACCGGGGTGAAACATATTCTCATCGGCGGGGGGAAATGATACATGCCGCGACACATCTTTGGATTTGATCAAGGAGATGAAGAAACCATGGAAACCCCCCCAACCCTGGGCCAAGAGTGACACGCAAGATATGATACATGCACACATTGCACGGCCCAAGTGCAGCAGTCTAGTGTTGTAGAGGGTTTGATGTGTCCATCGTAAAACCAATATGCTCTTCGTTGTACAGGCTTCCGTGACGTATTCGAACACCCATGTACTACTCTTTATTGAATAGGCTTTACTTACAACAATACTACTTCTCCTACTTCAAGAATACCATACAATGACCCGGCGTGCTCCGTCCCGGCTTTGAAGGGATCCGAGGTCAATGGTCTAGCGACAACGGCATGCACGACACGAGTACCCCCCCCCCCCCCCCCCCCCCCCCCCCCCCCCCCCCCCCCCCCCCCCCCCCCCCNCCCCCCCCTCCCCCCCCGGCCACCCCCCACGCGACAAATAATTAAAGAGAGGGTTGTGACAAACCAGTAGTTCTTGAATCCGGTTTTATCTTAAATCGCGCTGTGATAATTATGCACCACTGGTACTGGTATTTCTCATGATCGTGACGTCGTGACGTCGTGACAAGCCAGGTTGACTCTCTTGAATCGGTTGTTGTCTTCACAATAAAAACCGTTCCGATCTGCCTCTACCCAGTACCTTCAAATGTCCGTACTGATCCATCACTTGACGCGGTCGATTCCCGTGGTCACAGGCTAACTTCACAGTCTCTCTTAAACCATAGCCGTCGCTGTACGGGCACGATTTGATGCACACTCACTTGCGTCGGAATGTCATGGTTCGTGGTCGCCATGTCGCACATTTTCCCTCCCATCTCCATCGTGGAGTCGTGGAGGGATACAGAAGGGGCAAACCCGCACGAGTACATGTGATCGCCAAGGACGTGGCATGACCCCCGCAGTCATGGGGGCATCCACAATTGCAATCTAGAAGTTCTGCACTGTTGTCCCGTGGTTGTGTACAGCAGCAGTCGAGCACCGGCTCCACATGCATACGGCAACTACTATTCGGCGCAACTATTTGCCGGCGACTCCTTGGGTGCTGCGCTCACCTCATGATGCCTTTTCTCCACATTTGACAGCTGGTGCGAGCCATAGCTAGGGAGTACTGCACACGAGAGCACGCATAGATAGAGAGACAGACAGGCAGAGACGGAGACAGAGAGAGCACCGCATTCGCGGGGTGGCGTCGGGCGGTTCAGTGCAAAACATACACGCCTATCCAGGCCGCTGGAAGGCATCACCATTCAAGCGGGGTACAGCTTTGTCGGCCCCTTTGAGCATGGACGGAAGAGCAAGACCAATATCCTTGCCAGTAATACACACTGTTTCCTCTCCTGTGCTCTGCTGTGCTCTGCGACGTAATGGTGTGTGACATACCGCGTCTTCGCCGGCCGCGATCTCAGGCAGGTCGGTAGGGTCTCTGGTTCAACAAGGTCTGTATACAGCTGATCGGTTGGGTCGGACAAACGTTCATCCACTCACCAGAGAACGCTGCAATAACCAGGATCTTGGAGAGCAGGAGCGGGGGCAACATCCGTGTTCCTTTCTTCATGCCTCTGCCGGTAGCTGTTGATGTGAGCCCCTTCCCTAGTGACAAACACATCTCTCCGGTGCTACGTATGCTTACGGCGTAAACCTTTGAAAAAAATGGTTCGAAAAACGGTACACCTTATTTGCGCACGAACCTATTGATCAGGGATTGATTGTACCTTTTAAGTGCTTTCTCGGGTCTACACGTCTGCACGTCTACACACGAAACACTTATTGCGGTGAGGCATAGCGCACGCATTGCCAGTTTCGTTCGCTCCTGCGACGTATTCCGGACCATTCCTCTGTGCAATAGTTAGATGTGCATGTCGCACACATTTTCATGGCAACAAGAGTAAAGAGCACTGGTTTTCGAGACAGGTTGTAGCATTCCTATATCTTGCAGCAATTGAGTACATTTAGCAACTGACATACGGTTTAATGTGAAGACAACAACAACAACAACACTGCTGTATAATAAATACAATCGCTGCGTTGTTGTTGCTTTTGGTTAGGGTTAGTGCTTTGTCCAAATCAGGTGTATTCTGTCCAATCCGTGCGGCATTCCGTTGCTGAATATAGACTAGACTACACCTCTAGACTATGCATGCAAACAACACCTACAGATGGCGCCTCTAGTTTCGGCCGAGGCTGAGTGAGGTTCTTATTTTGCTGATCATCCTCTTGTGGGCTACAAATGGCCACTATATAGGTTTTGTTGTTGTTGTTGTTGTTGTTGTTGTTGTTGTTGTTGTTGTTGTTGTTGTTGTTGTTGTTGTTGTTGTTGTTGTTGTGGTTTCTCACATTAGCTCCATCATAGAGTCCACAAAAAATGGGGAGCCCGTGGTCTCAAAACCCGGCACATACGACGCCGCGGGAAAACAAAAGGACAACAATAGGGTACAAACCACTCGGAAAAAGGAAACAACAATGATAGAAAGAAAAGAACAGGTATCGCACCGACCGTTCGAGAAAAGAGCCCTCGGAAACCGATCAAAATAAAACAAAACAAAATATGCTATGATATGCATGCTGTCTGGGAAATCGTAGACACACAGGTAGTTTTCTCTGACGCTATGATTCCATTGTCAATCTATCTCTGACTCTTTTCTATGATAGAGATGGACTCGTTGTGTCATATTAAGAAAAATAAAATAAAATAAAGGAGGACGCTTCCCGCACCCGCCCAAAGAAAAATCAAAGGGTAACGTACCAGCACCAGGCACCACTGGTGTACGTCGTCCTTCGATTTTTTTATTTTTTTGTGGGAATATATATGTGTTTGTTTTTCGCCCCCCGTCTTGCTGCACCCCCTGGGGTGTGGTGCAGGGCGGGGGATGCCTGGTCGGCGGGAACCCGGCACGGAACCCTCCGGCGTTGTAGGCGGGTGTGGGAAGCGTTCCCCGTTCTCCTTTTATTTTATTTTGATCGGTCTCCTCGACGCTCTTTCTCGTTTGGTGCGGTAGCTGGTCTTTCTTTCTATCATTTTGTTTCTCTTCCGAGTGGTTTTTGTTCCCTATTTTTTTCTGTTTCTTCGTGGGGTCGTGTATGCCGGGTTTTGAGACCACGGGCTCCCAATCTTTTTCTTTAGAGCTAATGTGAGAAACAACAACAACAACAACAAACCACGCACCAGGGCATGGGAGTAACGGAGCAAACAGGGCAAAGAGGCGGCAGATGGGCAGACAGCCAGACGTACAAAAAACAAAGGCAACAGCAAAGCGAGATCAAGGTACCCAACACGGCAGAGTAGGCAGGGAGGTCATGAAAAAAAGAAACACAGCTAGCACAGAGGCCGAAGGCAACACAAAGGACATACATAAAGGAGTATAGCACACAGCAGGGAGGGAAACAGGGCGCAACAACATGAGCCGGGTACATAGTTCGCCACAAGCGCTGCCTCGGCTGCCCTACTCGCTTCTACAGCAGTGCCCGGTCGCCGTTTCTTCCCCCCCACCGCCTCTTCCCCGGTTCTCTTTCTCTTCGGTGCTGAGATGGTCGTACTCTCTTCTTCTTCTGCTTCCCTCGCGCGCTGGCGCTTCGCGGACGCTTCCGCCTCTTGCCTGTGTGCCATTTCCTCATGAACCATGCCGCCCCGTCCTCGACCTTGTTGTACCGCACCTCGGGGTCCTTGGCGCTCTCTTTCGATTTACCCCCTTCCTTGTCGTCTCTCATGTTGAAGGCCACGAGGTCCTTTCCTAGTGTGGGGTTCTGAACCGAGCTCACAAATGGTGGTCAAGTTCTTCGCTTTTGATTTTTTGCGAGCCTCAATTTCTAAACTGCAAAGTTCTTGAGTGCGGGCGCTATCTGTAGCTAGAACCATAGTTAGTTCACGATTGAGTCATTCATGCCCACCCATATTTCCAGAGCGTCGTCTCTTCATCGGAAGAAACATTGCGTATCACCAGAAGAACAACGCGTCGCGAAAAACGCAATGGAGAATCAGCGATCATCGGCTGCTGTAGTTAGGTACATAAAGCAGTGCCGGCCCGCACCCATGAATACGGCACTTTTACAATTTGATGCTAAAAAAATCCAAAACTTTTTTAAAAGCGGCGCCTCTGATTGGCCCAAACCACCGCATTTGAACGAAGCTGATTGGGAGTTTGAAAGCGGGTTGTAAAAGCGGCACTTGGGATTAGTACAGGAGGAGTTGTAATGACGCACGAGCGCCGGCGGGACAGGCGCGCGCAGCGCTGCACGCGGCAGGACTCTGCGCTTTGTCTTCGCAATGAGAAAGGACACAGCGCTCTCACCGCAGCACATACACGTACAACCCACAGCACACGCACAGCACCACAGAGGAATTTACCATGGGTCGCAGGAAAGGATCAACGCCTGCGGCTGGAGCAAAAAAGCCCGGGACGACATCAAACGCAGACAAGAAGAGCGACGAGGAGAAGCGATCACGGCAGGCAGCAAGCAGCTTTCCGTGCGGTCATGGGGTGGGCAGACACAACAGCACGGAAGCGTCAGCGAGTCAGTTGCGAAGGTGCTACGAACAAAGACAACATGGGGAACGACGAGGAAAGTGCGGGTGAGAGGAGTACACCGACGACGATATCTGACGTCGGAAGAGGCAGTACGAGCCAGGCAGTACATGTCGTTCGTGGGACATCAAATAACTCCGCAACCGCTTCAACCCAGTCGCCGTCTTCCAAGGGGAAAGGCAAGGGGAAAGCTCGTAGAGAACGTCCCGTAGGAGCAGCGGCATCAGAGGTAGTTGCAGCAACAGAGGGGCCGGAAGCAGGAGGGACAGTAGAACCAGCTGCAACAGTAACAGCAGGAATGCCACAAGCACCAACAGCAACATCACCAGCAGCGGCAACAGCAACACAAGCGGCAACAGCAGGAGTAACGTCCGCAAGCCCACCACCATCTACCGCACCTGTTCCTCAACCACCGGCACCGCTACTAGCGGCTGGGGCGGCGGCGTTACAAGGGGAACAAAGACGAGGACGAGGCGGCACTGCAAGTTCTAGTCCCTGTGCTGAAACTCGACCAGCAGCTGCGGCAGGAGGCACGGCGGGTGCCGCNGCGGCAGGAGGCACGGCAGGTGCCGTTACAGGGGGGACGATAGCTCAAGCTGCGGCTGTGGCGGCGGCGGCCGTCGGAGCAGCAAGCATAGGTCAAGGCAGTGGCAGAGCTAGACGGGAAACACAAGGAGGTGGGAGTGCAGGGGGGGGCGGAGGAAGGGGTAGTGGACGAGGAGCACCGATGGGGGTACGAGAGGCTGGGAGAGGGGCAGCGGCACGGGCAGGTGGAGCGGCGGGAACGTCCGCTCCCCCTCCCGTCGGCGGGGGTGGTGTTGAGGATCCCCCACGGTTGTCTCCTGCAATGCGGGATCATTTCCGTACCGTCAAGAAGAACATCGACGCCAACATCATCCATCACAGCGGCGGCGTGGCGGCACCTAGGGGAGGCAGTGGAAAGTTCCCCTACAGCAGCCCCCTCATTCTCCCGAAGTGTGCTACGATGCAGAACACCTCAGGTATGCACCCGACGTCCGGGTTTCCTTTGCTGCTTTGAACAGCAGTTTTGTACTCCTGGCGATTGACCGCTTTCCGTCCATAAGCTACGCGAACTCGGTTTTCGTTTCTCATGCCTCCATGACCGCTGTCCACTACGTTTTTGCGCAGGATTGCCGAAACTTTCTCCGTTCCTTCTGAAGCCACTGCTTGTTCGCGTGGATACCCGAGTATTTGTTCCCGGAGCTAGAGCTGGCGGGAATTCCGTGTCCAAGGTGCGGGAAATNGTGTGTTACAATTTGTAAACCGCGCGGATCAGTTCGCCGCCTGTTTGACTGTTGGCTGTCCCGNTTCGTGGACAGGTGCAAGTGCGAGCGGTGTGTTGAATACAACGGGACCGTGGAGGAGTCGGAGCAGCGCCCTACCAGTTTCAACGCGTGGGATGTCGGATGCCTGGATCGCCTTCCTGACTACGTGTCGAAGGATTTTCCTTTCATTCTCACTCATCGGTCGGGTATCGACATTCGTCTTGACCGGCTCGCAGACGACCTGGTCCATGGGAAGGGCTTCTCCGCCGCTGCCAAGCACATCCGCCAGGTAAATTTGCGTACCATTCTTTCTTTTGGTCAGGAAAGTTTCGCGAAACAATGTTCCCGGTATTGTCTACGACGTGCCGTTCTGAAACATGTTGCACCCCTCCCGCCCCAAACTTATCGCATGCTCAATAATTTGTGCAGGCACACACGACGAAGTTTATGGTGTATCAACTGAAGTACGTGTCACTGGCTGACGCCCGGCGATCGAGCCGGGTGAGCTTGTTCGGAGCCGCCCCAGTACTAGAGAAGTTTGGGAGTTTCGATGACACCGAGAAGTACTGCGGTGCGGTGCCCTCGGACCACTACTTGCGGGACGTGTGGCGCACGTACTTATCAGAACTTCCCTGTGCTGGAAGTGGAAGACGTGAAGTGGACGCGGAAGGACTATTTGCACCGCGTGCACCAGCGCTGGGACGGAACCGTACTCGCTGGAGATGCTTCGTTCAA